AATTATAATTATATTATAATAATAATTATAATAATATTTATAATTTATTTATATTATATTATATATATAATTTATTTATATAATATAAATAAATATTTATTAATAAGCCAAAGTATTTTATTCCAGTGGTTCTCAAACCTGGTTGAGCATTGGAATATCTTTGGGAGCCCTTAAAGATTGTGGATGCCCCACTTCATTCCAAGATTCTGATGTTCACAGGCCAATTTTTTTTTCAAAGTACCCCAAGTGATTCTAATATGTGGCCAAAGTTGAGAACCAGTATTATATATTCAGTTGTACATTTTTATTGTATAACATAAAAAATTAAAATAAGATAAATTATTTCAACTATGCACATGAGTTGAAAACTTGTTATGATATTCATCAACTGTGTAGCTAATTTTACCATGCCCTGTATATTGTTTTTCAATTATGTCTATATTGAAAACATTTATTTATAAAATAAACCATTTTCCTAGTTGTTAGCACATTTTGACAGTGAAGTGGAAAAAAATCATATTTATTTTTACCTATCAGCAACACCACTAGAGAGCATTCTATTATTAAAGCATACCGCTTATTTGATTGAAGCATTTTAGCTGTTAATTAATGGTTTAAAAAATTGGGAGATTTCTATAAGCCTGATTCTTACAGGCTTTAGCAAGTTACCCTAGCCAAATTGGAGTGAACACTAAAGGCTAATTCCATATTTGTAATCTGATAAAAAATGGGGCAAGAAAAGTAAAAAAGAAGTCATCATAGTCTATAAAGTTTATCATTTTACATTTCTACAAGTGCATTTTTAAACCACAAGATAATATTTACAGAGGCTGTGTTGTATCTGGATTCAGTAGCAAAGATCACTGTAAATGTTTATCAGTTTAAAAAACACATCCAGGTTTATGTTATAGACAAGTTTCTGTATTCAGTGCCTCATACCATAAAAATTACTCAAAATGTAAAGTTTTTATGATTCTAACTGCATATCTGAGTTAGTTCTAACAATTTCAGCACGGCTAAAATAATGCTCTCTATTACAGTATGAATATGAAAACATAGTACCAAATTAGAATCTTTCAGTAGCAACCTTCATCTTAAAATGGAAATTTTTAACAAATGATTTACTATTTGCCTAGCAATGCTCACCTAACAAATACTGGTATATTTTACATTGCAAACAGATGCTTTTCTACTTCTTCCCAGAGTATGCATTCTAACATGGTCTATGTAGTCGACATATAATTCAGACATTAAAATTACAAAAAAGAAAATATTTCACTCAAAGTGCCAAATTAAACAGCCGAGGGAGGGAAGTAGGCTTCTCAAATATTAGCAACCTTTAGGTTGCTTAGGGTAAAGCATGGCATAATTACTTACATTTTGTGTGAATTTAATGCACTAAACACACACACGCACGTGCACGCGCACGCGCGCACACACACACACACACACACACACACACAAGCAAGAGTTATAAATATTACAGGAAAGGTCTATACTCCAAACTAGAAGAAAGGACAATGTAGGAAGAATTTGCCCAAATAATTTTTTAAAACCTGCCTCTATTCTTTATAGTTTAATGCCACAAACTGTAAAAAGCTAAAATCAATAAGAATTGACTCAAAATGAGTGTTTCAAAAGCATTATAATGCCTAATAAGTTTATAACAAAGATGAAATAGCTATCATTTTAACTGTCTCTGTATATAAATCTACATGATGATAGAGATTAGGCAGAATTATGCTAGTATCAGAACGATAGAATTTTAGGGATACAGTTATAGTAAAGACCATGTAGTCAAGTATTTCTCAATCTTTTAAAGCTATGACAGTTTTTGAGAGATAATAATAATAGCTAATAATTGGATAGATGTTTTGGAGACTTATCATGTGCCAAATGCTGTTCTGTGTGCATTATGAGGTAGCGATTATTATTTCTCAGCTTTCTAGGTGAGGAATATGAGAAACAGAGAGGTTGAGTAACTTGCCAACTACTGCCTGGCCTGGCCAGGCTTCAAGCCTGAGGAGCTGGCTTCAAAGCCTAGATTGGCATTCCCTACAACATATGGCAATAACAAAAATATGTTCTCTATCAATATTTCTATTTTAAAAATAGGTTTTTAATTTTTTCATTTTAGTATACCTTTTGCAACAATTACACCCATGAAATATTCTTATACTCCTCCCTTACTCTCCAAATTGAAAATCATTGCTCTTGTCCAACTTTCCTGTTTTGCAGATTCATATTTTAGGAATACTATGTAAACACTTATATCGGGTGATGAGCCAAACACAAACTTTTCCTCAGTGATATTTTCAAAAATTGCTATATAAATGAGTAAAAGGTGTTAAATTTAATAAAAGATGGAGAAGTATCTGATCATTCAAAAAGCAAAAGATAACCTGAAGGATTTCTGATAGTAGCATTAGACAGGATCTTAGAGAATGGATTGGACTTAGATAAATTTAAATGGGTGATAAAAATGTTCCAAGTACACGGAAATTATGAGTGAGGGGCAGAGAAGGGAAAGTGCATGATGAATAGGAAACAAAGAGTCAAGTTTTTCAGAAACAAAAAGTATGTAAATATATACAGGAAGAAATAATGTTGAAAGTAGATGAAGGAGGTTCTGGAAAGTTAGACAATTCTGTAAACAAGGATATTTGAGGTGGATGGGTATAATAAGACAAGAGCTCGGTTTTAGGCAAGTAAATCTGGTAGCAATGTGTAAAATAGATTGGTATGCTCATAAGATACACCTAGTAAGAGAACTACAAGAATAGACGTGGAAATGGATCATATAGGGGGAAGAAGAAAAACATACTATAGAATTAGAATCCATACATTTTGAGAAACAAGTGGATAGAGGAGTCTCAGAGGACACGGAATTCATGAGACAGAACCACTGTGAAGATGAAGGGCCATCAACAAAAAAAGTAAACGCAAGAGAACAGCAGATATGGGAAGGTAGACCATAATTTCAGTTTGAAATGATGAATTTGAATGGTCAGACCAGTCAGGGGAAGATATCCAGCAAACATTTTTTAAACATTGCTTTGAAACTCAACAGCAAAACCAGGGTTGGGGACACAAATATAAGTATTATATTAGTTACAGATTCTGTTATAAGATATATAAGAAGATACCAAGGTAAATAGTATAGAGTGAGAAGAATAAAGAATGAAAGTAGGTCCTTGGGAAACAACTACATTGAGGAAGATAAGAGATAGAATTGAAAAGAGGAGTCATCAAAGAGAGTGGAAATTCAGGCAAGATGTAATTAGGAAGTTATGGGTGGGAAGAGTTTTGAGAGAGTATGAGGTAAAGCCTGAGGAAGTCCATTGGATTTGTTAATAAGTTACTGACATCCTTTGAAAAGGCATTTGTGGTGGGCAGAATAATGGCTCCCCCAAAGATGTCCACATCTAAATCCCTGGAACCTGTGTGAATATGTTACCTTACATGACAAAAGGGATTTTGCTGATGTGATTAAACTAAGGATTTTGAGATGGGGTGATTACTCTGGATTAACTGGGTGTGTCCTAAGTATAATCACAGGGTTTTTACAAGTGAAAGAGGGAGACAGGAGAGTGAGGGAAGGAGATGTGATGATGGAAGCAAAGCAGAATTTGCAGTGATGCAATTGCTGACTGGGGGGCCATGAGCAAAGGAAAGCGTGTGGCCTCTAGAAATGGGAAAGTCAAGGAAAGTTACTTTCTTCTAGAGCCTCCAGAAGGAACAGCCTTGCCAAATTTCGATTTTAGCCTCATGAGACCCATTTCATACTTCTGACCTCCAGAACTGTAAGATAATTACTGTGTGCTGTTTTAAGCCACTAAGTTTATAGTAGTTTGCTACAGCAGAAATAAGAAACTAATACATTTTGGTTAAACTAGTTGCCACTCCATCTAGAAAAAGGGTACAGATGAACTTATTTACAAAACAGAAGTAGAGTCACAAATGTAGAAAACACGCTTATGGTTACCATGGGATAAGGGTGGGGAGGGATAAATTGGGAGATTGGGGGTGAATCTATTCTAATCTATCTATCTATTATATCTATCTATTCTAATCTATCTATCTATCTATATATATATTATATATAAATCTAATCTATTTATCTATTATAAAATAGATAAACTAACAAGGACCTACTGTATAGTACAGGGAACTCTACTCAATACTCTGTAATGACTTACATGGGAAAAGAATCTTAAAAAGAGTGTATATTTTATAACTGATTCACTTTGTTCTACACCTGAAACTAACACAACACCGTAAATCAACTATATTCCAATAAAAATTTTTTTAAAAAAAGATAGTTAAAAAAAAACAGCTAGTTGCCACTTTTCACATAAACTCTTGAGCTATAGAGTTAAGAAACCTGAAATCAAATCCCAACAGCTCAAGTTACTTAACTTTTCCATGCTTCAGTTTCCTTGTCTATAAAGTGAGGGTAATAATAGTACCTACTTCACAGGCTTGTTGAGAATATTAAATGAAATCATACATGTGAAATATTTGGATTAGTGTCCAGCACATAGCAAGTGCTCAATAAAGTTTGTTATTATTATGCCATGTGATGAAGGGTTAAGGAGTACCCTAACTAACAACAAAGAAGTAAGGCAGTGAGACCTGGAGAGAGCTGAGACTTGTAGAAGCTCAGTGATCTCAAGGTCACCAGACTACTTTGAACTGACCCAAGTCATATTCCCAGTTATGTTGGCCTCTGGTCCAACAGATCTTTTGCACTATAATACATTATTTGTGGCAGAGACTGCTAACTGTCCCCTTCACTTTAGTAATAGAATTCCTGCATTTTCTCCTGGCATAGGGTCACAAAACAGACTACTTTTTACATTCTTCCTTACAAATAGATGCCTCCATGTGTCTATATTATGATCAGTGGGATGTAGCTAGAATTGAAGTATTCCACTTCTCGGCCAATCTTCTAAAGGGAAGATGTTTGATCTCTATTTTCTCCTTCCCTTATTCTAAAGGCTAGAACATGGGCAAAGTGCTAGTGAAGCAGCTCCAGCCATGCAAGAGAAGACTTCACCCTAGGAGACGGTGGACAAGAAAAAGAAAGGAAACCAGATTCCAGGATGATCTCATTGAACAGGGCTAACCACTGCCTTGGACCATCCACCTACCTCTAGACTATCACATGTAAGAGAAGCAACTTCTATTTTGTCTAAGACACTTACCTGATCCATCTTCTATATACTTATACTGTTTCTATAATTAATTTAATTAAATAGAAGGGGAAAAGGGAATATAGAGCAAAAATAGAGGAACCCTGAGGCTTCACATTGATAAATCTAATCATTACTCTAGGAAAACATTGGAAATCTCTTTACTGAAGGGTAATAAAAATATTGATCATAACTTTAATTGCAAACACATTATGTTCCAGGCACTAAGTTTTTAGTATACCTTGTCCCATTAAGCTCTACTGTATTTCTAGGAGGATGGTCGTAATATATCCTCATTTTCAGATAAGAAAGGTGAGCCTTAATGATATTAACTAAATTGCCCAAGGTTACATGAGTAGAAAGTAATAGAGTTGAGATTTTTAACCAAGGCTGGCCAAATTCTACAACCCCAGATCTTCCTTACTCTATATCCTGCCTCCCATGGAGGAATAGTAAATAATTTATTAACTTTGGAAGTAGCTAAGGTACTAAGACTATCACATGTACTTTTATATTATATTACTGCCAAGCAGTTGTGATTTTTTTTTTCTACTGGGAAACATACTTTACCTTTTCTTTCACCTACGTTTTATGGGTATCTGGACATTTTTTAAATTGGGAATGTAAACTTGAGCTACACATCTTATGTGCACACACATACACAAACACATCAAACTTTTCAAGTTAACAGTGGGGTCAGCTCGCTCAAAGTGAGGGAACAGCTGTATAGGTTTTGGAACCTAAGCTGATAATTGCCCTCTTGCTCAAAGGAGCCAATATTAAGCAAATTATAATTTCAAATTATTATATATTCTTCAAATAGACATTCTTCAATCAAACAGTTACTAAAGATTATTTCTGGAAACTGAAGCCTATCTCCTAATTACATGTTTTTTGATCTTTGAATGAGACTTCTCAAAAAAATAGACTGTAGTTTTGTTTAAAGACTACCCAGAAATTTCAGTCCTTTTTCTAAAGCATATTATTTGCTTTGAGTATAATATATATAGTTGGGCATGAGTAAATACCACTAATTTGAGATTTGATTTCTAGACCAGCAGTCATTTCAGGAAAGGACAGCAAAACCTGATTGTGAATATGCTATTGACATTTGGGCCTCTATTTAAGAATATAAAAATTCTTTCATTAGACCTATATCATTGGGCTGCCCTGGTGGCGCAGTGGTTGAGAGTCCGCCTGCCGATGCAGGGCACACAGGTTCGTGCCCCGGTCCGGGAAGATCCCACATGCCGCGGAGCGGCTGGGCCCGTGAGCCATAGCCGCTGAGCCTGCGCGTCCGGAGCCTGTGCTCCGCAACGGGAGAGGCCGCAACAGTGAGAGGCCCACGTACCGCAACAACAACAAAAAAAACTATATCATCAAAACCATGTAATATGTTACAAGCAAGCTACAAATTTGGTGTTCAGTACTAAATTTAATGGAACTCAAATCTAGGCCCATTGAAAGAGTTATTTGAATACAGATAATTTCAGATTTACAATCAAAATTTTGTTCTTGCCATAGACTGGATGTTTGTGTCCCCCAAAATTCATATGATGAAACCTAATCCTCTCAATGTGATGATATTAAGAGGTGAGATCTTTGGGAGGTGACTAGGTCATAAGGGCAGAGCCCTCTCGAATTGAATTAATATCCTTGTAAAACAGACCCCAGAGAGCTTCCTTGAGCCTTCTGCCATGTGAGGACACAACAAGAACATGGGCGTCTATGAACCAGAAGGCCAAAACATAGACCCTGTCATCATGGAGCTCTCAGTCTATTGGGGGAGTTGATTTCTAATCAGAGCACTATGAATAAATGTTAAATCACAGCTATGATAGGTTTTATGATGGAAAGATTAGATTGTTATAATAGGACAAAACAAGAATACATGATATTTCTCTGAGGGAGAAATGTTTAAGCTGTGTACTAAAAAGTTAAAGAAGTTACCAGAGAAGAAGATGAAGGCTTTTGGAATTGTATGGGGAAAGGAGAGAGCATCCAAGAAATTAAAAGGAAGACAGTGTGGATCTTGGGTCAAGATGAGGTTGGAAAAGAAGTCTGAGCCAGAATTGGCAGGGCTTTATAGACCATGTTAATGATTTTAGTCACTGTCTTGGGAACGATGGGAAGCCAATGGAATGACAGGGGGACATAAAAATTCCTTGTTCTCCACTGTCCCAGAGAAAGGGAAGCCATGCCGAAAGCAAAGAAAAACAAACAAAAAATTATCTTGATGACTTCTTGGCTATTTAGGGATTTTTAAAAAGGTAATTGTGACTATATATGATCTCACCTTGAGGGCTAACTTTAGAACTAACATCCTCCCATCACCACCACCACCCCTTCCCATTAATATGTCTGCCACTAGATGTATACTCTAGAAGCACATAGAAGGCAAAACATCTGACCAAGTTATAAGGGAAGTTTAGAGGTATTATATTCTGATATTAAATTGTACTTTGTCATCAGCTGTTGACTTATTCCTTTTTCCACAGCTGTCTTAGAATAACCTCCTTCTTTTTAAAATTCTCACTTATTTACCATGGTTCCCCAAAATTTGAATTATAGAATTTGTGAAAATACAGCTACAATGGCTATTAGGGAATAAACCTTAAGAGTAAGTTTTCCAGTTTGTTCTAAATATCTTGATAAGTTGTAATAAGGTTTTATTATGTATAAAGTGTGGGAAAATTATATAAATTTACTAATATAAAAGAACATAAGACAATTGCCTGAGAAAGTTATAAAGAAGTAAATAAGTTCCTTTGTGAATAAAACAAAGAAATAGCAGTGTGACAGGCTGGAAGAGACCTGAAATATACTTCTAAAGTTTTAATTTTGTGAAAGGATTTCAGAGGAGATGGAAAAAATTAAATGGGTTTACAAAGATTATTCCAAATACTTAAAAGTATTTTATAAGACCTTCATTTCAAGTGATTATAAAAATGGAGAACAAATTCTTCTAGAATCAGAGGAGTATAAAGAAGAAGGAAGGAAGGAAGGAGGAGGGAAGGGAAGGAAGGAGGGAAAGACAGAGAAATAGAAGGGAGGGAGGGAAGGAAGAAGGAAGGAAGAAAGAGGGAGGAAAGGATGGAGGGAAAGAAGGAGGAAACCAGAGAATCTAATTCTTACTCCAAGAAAAATATTAACTTTCTAAATTGAATTATTGTCACTTATCTTATAAACTTATTAAAGAAACTACTAAGGCCTTCTATATCCCAAAACATTGAGATCTCCTAAACAACATTTTTCAGGTTTTGGGCAATAGTAACACCAAATAATAATACAATATGGGGCTTTCATGTAAGACTTCTCTGTAGTAGATGCTGAGCTTCACTGAGATAATAGACAACAGTTAAATCAATTTTTAATGACAAAGAATTGCCTCTATCTGAATGACCTCCAGATCTTGAGAAAACCTCATTTTATAAAATAGACATGCCACCAAAATGTTACTCATAAACCTTTTATTTTTTCTAATGGGATCATATTTCTCCACTAATTTATAATTTCTAACTTGCTTTATCTTCATCCCAAGTCATTCTTCAATCGGCAGAAACGCCCAACAATTTGACTTTTAGTTTCTCTGTCCAGAGCCTGTCCTATGGTAAATGATTTATAATTTTTAAAACAAAAGAACCAATAGATATTACTTTTTAAAAGAAGAAAAGGGGCTTTGCAGTGAATATTTTTATGATACAGATTCATGTAACAGAATCAAACTTCAAAAGAATACTCATCTTACCTTCCAAACTGTATTAGTTAAAATTGGGTAGCCTATCTTACAATAGCAAATAACCCCCCAAGAATCAGTGGCTTAACATATCAAAGTTAGTTTATCACTTCCTGATATTAGCTAGGGATCACTTAAAACCATCTTTCATGTGGTGACTCGGGGATTCAGGTCCTCTCCATCTCAACTCTTGGCTTTCAGGATTGCTGTGGCAATAGAATATTCTGCTAGAAGGTCCTAAATGTTAAGTCATGGTCAGACCTATTAATTTGCATCCATCATTTCTACCCATCATCCACTAGACAGAATTAGACACATGGTCTCCATCTAACTGCAAAGGGAACACATAGATATTTGGTGAGGTCTCAGCCACCATTATCAGGTTTTATTATTTGTAGATACACTTCAAAAAGTGTCTATAGCACATTAGAATTCATGTTCTAATAGGTTTCTATTGAGTGTGTATGTGTGCATGTTTGAATAGACAGGAAATCACTAAATCATACTGGCTTGACTGAACACTAAAACTCTTCTTCTACAAATTCTTGTCTTCCCTTGCTATTCAATTAATTGGAAATTTCCTCTCCTCTTCCATCTCTTTATCTTTCCATTCCATCACTTGTTGCCTAGGAACAGCATCCCACCTCCAACTTGTCCATTCTTATTTAACCAGAAGGCTGATCCAAGATGTGATCTACCATAGTAGAACTAGTTAAAATGCAGGTGACTTAGAAGAAGAGAAAGATAGAAATCATTAGCTACCACTCAACATTCAGTTGCCAACCACTGTCACTAAGTCTTCCATCCCAATACTGATTTGGGGGACAAAATACTCAGTCTCCCTTCCATATTCTCACTCACCAAACAACAAAGGGAAGGAAAGGCAAGAAATAGAAGTTTGAGGATCCTAAGAGAAGAGAGAGAATGTTTCCTGCTTTCTAACAGCACCAAGAAGAAATAAGACCGAAGGAATAAATGGCTTTGTGGTATATCTAGATAGAAACGTAGCCCTTCAAATGATCCCCATGCCCCAAATGTGGCAATGAAGCAGCAGAAACCTTCTAGAACTGAAAGAGCCATACTTCTAGGAACACATGATGTCATTGCTAGAACAATGATAAGATATCACTGCTGCCACACACACATGCATACCTGGAGAAGACCCTGGAATGCTGGCATAAACCACAGAGAGCTGGAGGAAACACCAGGAGGGATGGAAATTACCTAACTTCTAGCCC